AAATCATCATGGTACCCAAGCCTGGGAAACTTGCCAATGATATGAAGTCGTATAGACTTATAGACATAACTGATGGTGTTGTCGAAGCTGTTTGAAAGGGTTTTATTGAATCGCCTGAAACCAATAATAGAAAATAGAGGTCTAATCCCCGACCATCAGTTTGGGTTTCGGTCTAGGCATTTCACTATCTATCAAGTACACAGGTTAACGAACGTCATTGAAAATGCGCTTGAAAACAAAGAATATTGCTCAACTGTCTTCCTGGACGTAGCCCAGGCATTCGACAGAGTTTGGCACAAGGGCCTCAACTTCAAAATAAAGGAGTTTCTGCCAGAGCCATTTCCAAAAATATTGAAGTCCTACCTCTCTGACAGAATATTTAGGGTAAAATTTGAAGAAGAGTACTCCATCTTTAAAAATTTGAGAGCTGGTGTGCCTCAGGGAAGTGTGCTGGGACCTTTTTTGTACTTGCATTGCACCAGAGATATCCAGCAAAGCAAAGAAACTTTCTTAACAACTTTTGCAGACGATACGGCAATATTAGCGACCGGTAAAACTGTTGAATTAGCTACGAATAAATTGCAAGTCTCATTGAACGAAGTGTCTACTTGGACGAAAAAATGGGGGTTCAAACTCAACGAAGCCAATTGGTGTCTTACTTAATGGGGCAACAATTCCGTACGCCAACGAAGCCAAATACCTTGGTATGCTGAATTAAATTGGAAAGGGCATGTTAAAAAAAGAAAAGTGAGCTTAACATAAAACATGGAAGACATTCTTAGCTTAATACACAAAACAAACTACTGCTCTACAGTCAGGTTCTCAAGCCCGTTTGGACTTACGGTATACAGCTGTGAGGCTGCACAAAAGAATCACATTTGAAAATTATCCAAACTTTCCAAAACAAGGTCCTCCGAATCATTGTAAATGCACCAATAAAGATGAAATAAAGAAATATGCAATCAATCATCAATCAAGATTACTCTAGCAAGACATTTCCAAGATGCTGATACTTTAGGATGTTGATCAAGTACATAGACGACTAAAAATTGTTAGACTGCTTGAACTCATCGGCTAGACAAATACAACGTACAGGAAACTCATCAGTGGATGACCCATAACCCCTATAGTGAGCTAGAAAATTTGCTAGATAGGAATTATTTTCTTAGTTGCAATATCACTTAAAATAAAAAAAAAAATTTGCTTTGTGAAATTTTTGAATATTATAATATTTTTTGTTTTCCTTGTTTTTCATTTTCTTTAATTTCAATTTCTTATTCAAAAATTTTATTCTTTAACGCACTATTCTTCTATTTGGAAGATAGAAGGGTAGTGAGTTAAAGAATAGTGATCAGATGGAATTTAGCAACCGATTTTTTTGATATTAAAATTTTTAAATTAAACAAAATATGTAGAAACAGTAGAGCTAAAAATGTTGAGAAATTTCCTTCACGCAAATGATTTCCGACACCCCATCCATTTAAACTTCATATAAATTTGAAGTTTATTTTTTGATTAGTTCTCTGAGCTTGGTGGCCTGATATGTATGTATATATGACATTAAGAAAAATTCATAGGGAAAATTAAAGAATTGAAATGCATATTCACCCGTATTCTGGTAATCGTATGGCATGCAAATATGGCATAAAGCAATACTATCCCGTCTATGTATTATTCTAGGAGTCGTAGACGTAGTAACTAAAAGTGGTTCTTATCTTGATATGATTACAGATTTCAAAATCATCACGTGTGTACTTTCTATATTATTTTTCATGTATCGTGATAGTTTTTAGCACTTTTCCAAAAAATTTTTGAAAAAAAGTGCTTATTAGTTTCACTCTGTCCGTCCGTCCGTCCGTCTGTCCGTGTGTCTGTTTACAAAACTTCTACACCCTTGAAGATAGAAAGCTGAAATTTTGTACGTACATAGAGTTTTACTAGAAACTTATTTTCGTAGAACAAAATTTTTATCTATCTCCCCCCCTTTAGAAATTATACCCCCCCGAAACCCTAAAAATGCCATTCTTTAACTATTTAGTGCAATGAAACCATAAGGATTTTTCAAATTTTGCAAACGCAGAAAGGCAGTGGCTTGCTTCCCCTAGTGGGGTATACTAAAGGTTAACTTTAGAAAAACAAAATGGCCGCTCAAATTTACCGTTATCTAAAGTCCGTTTTATTTTTGACATCAAATTTTTGATGTCGTTTATTTTCTAGACCCCAACCTGTAGAAGCTTGAAATTTTATGGGCTTTTAGACATTAACAAATAGTTCATTTCGTTGGAAGAAAATTTTTTTCCATCTCCTTCCCCTCTCAAGTTATTGCCTCTTGAAATTTGTAAAATTTGAATTTTTGATACCTTATATTTCCGAAACCGCAAGCTTTTTCAAATTTCTATAAACACCAAAATCTAACGGTAAATTCCATGACATTAAAAAATATAATTATTTTTCTTAACTCACATAATTAAACCTTAAAATCGAGCATTATGTTAACCCCACTTTATATTAATTTTTGCTTTATTTCAAAGACTGCATAAATCGTTGATCCTAAATATATGCAATCCTACAAAGAGTTTTGTATATGAATGAAAATAATTTTTAGAATGTGTGATAGGTATACATAGACTGTATTTAAAAGCAGAATTTTCACTTGCTGAAGGGAAAAGTGTTACAATACAAACCATTGGTTTGACCCAACTTTATTTTTTATCATCTCAATATTTGCACTCGGTGAACCATCACGTCACGGTTTTCCTAGGTTAAATGTATAAATATAATGCAATGTCGACGAAGTTAGTCATTTCAAAAATTATTTATTTAATATTACAGTAAAAATTTTAGTCTACTAAGTTTTATATTGATAATCAGTTTTTTTGTATTTTATAATCAAAAGTTTGAAATATTTTGGATATCTAAATACAATGTTATTTAGTGAAGCTGCAAGGGATTAAAGAAACGGCTAAATCAAAGTATATCTATTAATAAGTAGTTCGATTCTCCGTTTACATCATACTAATGCAATCCTTCACCAATATTTGTGTACAAAAAATTCCCTTACCTAAAAGAGTTAAGCAATATACCTATTTTGTTAAGCAGTATTTATTTTTTCGTATATAAAGTATAGGAAAAAATATTAAGAATTCTATAAGCGGGAGTTTTATTTCTGCAACTTATTCCAGTACAAGGTGGCAGAAATGGTATATCCATATTATAAAAGCGAAGCGATATAAGAACAAAATTTGACTATTAAAATAAAAAAAATTTATAATTTACATATTATATGTGTATAATTTGAAAAAGACAAATAATGTTAACAAAAAACTTAAAATTTGTAATTAGTAATTGTCATTACATTTATTGTAATATAAACTATGAATTTTTTATTTTTATTTCAATTTTGTTTTAAAAATTTAAAACAAATATGTCTTATGAATGTATACAGACATACACGCGTATCGGTAATAGGCATTTTTTTTTTATAAATTGCTCAATCTCTACGCCTCCTACGTTTTGACGGGAAATCAGCTTTAAACTCAAGCTGCGTTTTTACTATTTTAACTTAAAAGAACAAAAACGAGTTCAGCTATTAAATTTCAAATCATTATTAACATTTCAAGTCAAGTAAGCGTCTTGAGTCAAGTAAGGCCAAGGTCAAGTAACGTTTATATAGACAATTATAAGCTTGAAGCAGCCATATAAACGGGGTATATACATATTACTACATCATATTGTCTATCTACCATTAATAGGTATGTACCGTATAACATAGTATGAAATTTTGAATTTATAACTATTACTTTCATACATTCGAATTCATGAACTTAACTTTTATGAAATGACAAATAAAATATGAAAAAAAAAATTTTCTTATCAAAATGAAAATAACAAAATTTTTGCCTAACTTAATTTTATTTCAGTTCAATGTTTTTCATACACTTGTTTGTTTACAATATTTTGTTTCTTTCTTGTATACACAACTTTTATTACCATCTATTTTTAAATAAAAATGGAATATTTTAAGAATTTGGAAGGAAAATGCAATCGAAAATTAACGGAATGGAACGAGTCGAACTATTTATTAATAGAAATACTTTGGGCTAAATATTTCTTTAAAACTTTCTTTGTTTTGTTTTATGTACTTTTGTATATGATATAAATGTACAAATAACAAAAAAATTTTCAATTCATTCAATCTTAAATGTTTTTGTGACGATACATCAGCTGTTAATGCTACGAACCTAAAAATATTTTAATAAAATGTAATTGCTTTTTTTATACACGTCAGTGACGCGACTAACAGAATATCATGTATGTATTATAGGGCAAGGTATAATGTATTATCTAACAAAATTTGGATATGTATTATAGGAACCAGAAAAATTCCATCAGAATTTCTTTTCTGATAAAATGACATACACACATACATATGTACCTACATTTGTATATATGGTTTTAATGAGGAAATATTATGAAATCCATGTGCACGTATGTACATAATTTATGTCAGAATATTAAAATTTAGCGCCGATAAAGTTGAAGGTGTAGTGCATTTTTTATTTACAAAAATATTAACTTATACATACGTATATATGTATGTAATATTTGACTTTCCTTTAAATTAAGTTTTTTATGTAATCTTTTTTAAATTTGTAAGCCACAAGTTTTGTTTTCTGGGAGTAGTGTCTACTATTATTTCTATTTATTCAGTAGCTTTCTGCTTCCAAACTAATTTCCAAGCTAATTAAATTTGTTTCCAAACTATAATTAAAATTGTGTAAAACATATTTGAACACGTATTTTTATAAGAGTCATTAAGAATTTAAATTAGTCAATATTACATTTATTCAATAATATCTTCAAAATATTTTTTAACTTAATATAATATAACATTTGATATGAAAAACTTTTTATTATATCTCTTGTAAACAATATGTTTATACATACTTATTTTCGTTCAACTTATTTGCATTTTATGTTTTAATTACGATAGCACTTACATTATTTAGTTTAAAATAAATTTGGTATATGTAAACTAATTTTTTAATCTATATTCTATATTTATATGTATATTATTAAAAATTGGTTTTATTTATGGAATTTGTTTTTCGTAAATGAACGAAAACCGTGCAGTAGTGCTATTATATTTGTAGAAACTTATGGTATTAAATAACCCCTCCAATCCACAATAACTTTGATTACTTGCCATATAAGGTAATCATATTTAGTTAACGATTTCCTTATGCAATTTAGTTACGTCAAAGTACATTTTCATATATGTATTGGTCAAATTAAATCATTTATACATGTTCGTAACCTAACCAAAATGCACGCCTTGACATCGAGAGAATTTTACATGCTGCTATAAAAGAGACTTCGAACAAGCTACTTCTTAACTTTACAAATGCATGTATCAAAGAATTTTCAAGAAAGAAGTTATTACAAAATGAATAACATAAAAAAAAAATAAACACATGCATATTTATATATACGAACCTATACATTTATATACACCAGGGAACGAGATGCTATAAGCTCTAGTAGTGTCTTGGCTTCACGTTTGGTAGGACGCTCAATTTGAATCTTTATTGGAATTCAGTCACTAAAAACACTGAACCTTTTCTCTGGATGTGTAAAAATCTCTGTGGAAAAACGTTTAGTCTATTGTATAAAAGGTATTTATCAATTATTTTACCAGTAATGCCTTGATAATTATGGGTTGATATATCAATTTGAAAATTATTTGGCTTAAAGTTGTCTTTTTTAACAAAATCAAGTTTAGGAGTTTTTTGAGTAAGCATGGTTGCTTCTCCGATCTCTCTGTTCTCCGGTAAGCTTTGTATCGACATGTGCAGTACAATGTTTTGTGATAATGGAACTATAATTACGTTTTCAGATGATAAGGTGGCAAGAAGAGTTCCAGACTTTTGACAGAAGTTGGTGGGCAGGTAGGAAGAATCTGTGGTATAGGTTACTAGACGAAAACGCTTCAAGAGAATTGCGTAATTGTATTATGCCAACATTGAATATTTGGCCCAGTAGATGGGGGAAGGATGAATTCCAGGGCTTAGCAGAGAAGATATCCGACTTAATTTCTTATATGCAAAAGGGTGCGATGCAGTGGAGTGCTTATGCAGATTTTGTGTATAGGAGAGAATACGGAAATATAAATGTATTAATTCTGTGGAAGCACGACATTTGCAGTCAATTCTTCATTTGCAAGGTCACGTGATTGATTGTCGTTGAATACTTCAAGGGGAAATTTTTTAAGAGCTAACATAGATATGTCTGTATGTATATGTATGTATAGATGTTTATCTCATTTTCCATAAACCCCTATAATGTACGTAAGAAAAAAGACTATTTATTTCTTTAGTCCATATATAAATTTCGTACGGGAAGGCTGTGTCGCTGAGCGTTAAAATAATTTATTTGCTGCTTAAAATTTAATTTTAATTTAAATTTAGTGAATGATTATGTTAATTTTTTGTGGTATTAAATAAAATGAAGATTTATAATTTATATTAATTAAATTTTGTCTTTTGTTCATAATATTTACTATAAAACAAAGTTGAATTTGAAAAAATAGTACTAAAGTTTATTAAAAAAGAGAAAATGATTAAATAAATTAGTAAGATTCGGTGTACGTTTTAAAGTTTCTATTGTAATCATATTTAAATAAAATATAATAATATATTTGATTACGTTCATATAAATAGGTGTTGTGTCATATAAATGCCCCGAAGGTGTTGCGTTGAAGGATGCAGAAGCAATATTCTATGAGAAAAGGAGAACGTAAATCCGATATTTACATTTACTTTGCCAAAGAACGAGGTCATCAGGGATAAAATGTATACAAGCAATAGGAAAAACAAATTCGACACCACCGAAAGTATTTTTAATTTGTAAGAACTTTATATTCTATTTTTCTGCTTGTGGCAAATATAATTTAATCAATTACTTAGTAATGTTAAGATTTGAACAATTTAAATAAGTATGTAATTTAATGTCTAATAAAAGAAAATTAAAAAAATTTGGGAATTTAGTTGTTACATTTTGGTCGTAAAATTTACTAGTTTTAAGAAAAATTGATTAAAAATTTTATTTTTTTATGTAAATATGTTATATAGCTTATTCAAAAACAATTTTGTTATGTATTTACTATTTTGGTTTTAGCTGAAAAATATATATTACCAATAATGATCAACTTTGAATACACCGTATGTATTTATTAGTAAATTATGTATTACGGAGTCTTGAGAAAAAAGATGTCTATGCATTTTCATGTCTATCTCAATACAATATTTATTTAAGAAAAAAACTTCTTCTATTGCTTTTTTTAATATCAGTAAAATTCTACAATACAAAAAAAAATATTCGACAAAAATATTTGATTTTTTCAATTATTGCTTTTTTTTGCTTAAAGTTAGAAGACTATAAAATTTTTGCAATTAAATAAATTTCATTTCTTCCAAACCATATTCATAAAATTTCTCAAAATTTTAGTTCTGGTATTTCAGCATTTCATAAAAAACAATTCATTTTTAGTTTACTGCTTATCTTTCTAATTTACATTTGAATTAAACATTGGAATTTGCTTGATCTTTTTAAACACAAAAAAATATCTGCCATCTGCATACAAAAAAAATATTAAATTGATAATAAATACTAGCTTTCACTTCTTTAAACTTCCGTGAAGTTTCAGAAGAAAATCAGCTTTGATAAAGTGCGTATGTAGCGCACGAAATATATTAGCGAAAAATAAAAGTATTTTATTCCGAATAAAAGGAAGTTTTCTTTTCACACCAATTAATAAAAAAAATTATATTTCGGAAAAATTATCAACCATTGAAGAAAAAATTTTTTTTGAGAATGAATTAAAGTAACCAAAAAGGGTTCACAAATGGTTTTTTCTAAGTCTCACATTTTATAGTCCAAAATAAAAATTTTCAGTTTCTGGCATGACCAAAAAACATTTCTTTATGTTTGATAAGTACCTTGAAATTTGGCGTTTATCGTATATTTATAATGTTTTTAAAAGTTTTTTCAAGTTTTTTGCCTGGTTTATTTTTTTTGAATGAGAGTTTTTTTTCTTTTGCGAGAAATTTCGTCATTTTTTCTTTTTATACCCTGCACTTCGTGAAGGGTATATTAACTTTGGTATGGAGTTTGTAACTACTTGAAGGAGTCATCTGCGGTATGGACATATATATATATTCTTGCTCAGCGTAAAATTCTGCGTTGATTTAGACATGTCCGTCCGTCCGTCCGATCGCACGATAACTCAAAAACGAATAATGCAATCGACACCAAACTTTCACTTGTTGTTTCTTTTGTGCCAAGGACGAACCCTATTGTTATTGGACCAATTCGGACAACGGGTTCGGGTAGCTGCCATACAACTCAAAGAGTTTATTTTCATTATTTCAAAAACTAAAAAAGGTACAAATATAGAATTTCGTATACATGTGTCCAATTATATTCTACATATGCTCTAAAAATTTTAATGAGATAGCTGCACCGGTTCGGGTGGCTGCCATACAACTCCAAAAGTAAATTTTTTATATTCGGCAAAATAATAAAGTCAGATTCATGAAACTTGGCAGTCGTGTGTCCAATTATAGGTCAAAGATATTTCTGAAGTTTTGGTGGAATTGCTTGACAGGTTCGAGCAGCTCCCATACAAGTCCAAAAGCTTATTTTAAATATTTGGAAAAATAATAAAGTCAGATTTATGAAACTTGGCAGTTGTGTGTCCAATTATAGATCAGATATATTAGCGAAGTTTTAGTGGAATTGCTTGGCAGGTTCGGGTACCTGCCATACAACTCCAAAAGCTTATTTTAAATATTTGGAAAAATAATAAAGTCAGATTCATGAAACTTGGCAGTTGTGTGTCCAATTATAGGTCAAAGATATTTGTGAAGTTTTGGTGGAATTGCTTGACAGGTTCGAGTGGCTCCCATACAAGTCCAAAAGCTTATTTTAAATATTTGGAAAAGTAATAAAGTTAGATTCATGAAACTTGGCAGTTGTGTGTCCAATTATAGATCAGATATATTTGTAAAGTTTTAGTGGAATTGCTTGGCAGGTTCGGGTACCTGCCATACAACTCCAAAAGCTAATTTTAAATATTTGGAAAAATAATAAAGTCAAATTCCTGAAACTTGGCAGTTGTGTGTCCAATTATAGATCAGATATATTTGCGAAGTTTTAGTGGAATTGCTTGGCAGGTTCGGGTACCTGCCATACAACTCCAAAAGCTTATTTTAAATATTTGGAAAAATAATAAAGACAGATTCATGAAACTTGGCAGTTGTGTGTCCAATTATAGGTCAAAGATATTTCTGAAGTTTTGGTGGAATTGCTTGACAGGTTCGAGTGGTTCCCATACAAGTCCAAAAGCTTATTTTAAATATTTGGAAAAGTAATAAAGTTAGATTCATGAAACTTGGCAGTTGTATGTCCAATTATAGATCAGATATATTTGCGAAGTTTTAGTGGAATTGCTTGGCAGGTTCGGGTACCTGCCATACAACTCCAAAAGCTAATTTTAAATATTTGGAAAAATAATAAAGACAGATTCATGAAACTTGGCAGTTGTGTGTCCAATTATAGGTCAAAGATATTTCTGATGTTTTGGTGGAATTGCTTGACAGGTTCGAGTGGCTCCCATACAAGTCCAAAAGCTTATTTTAAATATTTGGAAAAGTAATAAAGAAAGATTCATGAAACTTGGCAGTTGTGTGTCCAATTATAGATCAGATATATTAGCGAAGTTTTAGTGGAATTGCTTGGCAGGTTCGGGTACCTGCCATACAACTCCAAAAACTAATTTTAAATATTTGGAAAAATAATAAAGTCAGATTCACGAAACTTGTGTGTTCAGTTATAGATCAGACATATCCGTGAAGTTTCTATAGAATGGTTTCACAGGTTTGAGTAATTGCTATACAACAATGAAAGGTGCAGGGTATTCAATCGGTTCATACCGACTGAAACGTTTTTACTTGTTTTAAAGTTTTTTCAATTTCAAATTGGGTTTTGATTTATTAATTGATTTAATAACAGTAAGTATAAATAGTAAAAAGATTTAAACAGTAAGTATAAATAGGAAAAAAAGTTTTCTCCATGCATACTTATTATTTTTGCTTCATATCTTCTAAAGCTAATCACATTAACTGATA